CTGGGGTAAAGCACTCCGGACGTAAACTAGTCCCCCATTCGGATGTCCGGGCGGGGACTACCTCGGGGGATGTCATCAATAAGTGCAATAGGGATAGGTGCAATGTTTCACGAGTCGGAGCGTGGAATGTTAGGTCAATGAGGCAGGTAGGGAAATTAGAAAATTTAAAAATAGAGATGGATAGATTAGAATTAGATATAGTAGGTATAAGTGAAGTCCGTTGGCCCGAAGCTGGAGACTTCTGGAGTGGGGACTTTAGAGTAATACATACAGGATCTGTAGAAGGTAATTCAGGTGTAGGAATTGTAATGCGTAGGAAAGTAGGGCAGAGTGTAGAAAGTTATTTACAAAAAAGCGATAGGATAGTTATGGTTAAATTAAACTCAAAGCCGGTAAGAACGGTATTAGTGCAGGTCTACATGCCTACATCATCTTACAGTGATGAAGACGTAGAAGCAGTTTATGCAGATATAGAAGACGTGTTAAGTTTAGTGAAAGGACAGGACAACCTAATAGTTTTAGGAGATTTCAACGCAGTAATAGGTGAAGGTAAAGTGGGTGCAATAGCAGGTTCTTTTGGATTAGGCAATAGAAATGATAGGGGAGATAGGCTGATAGAATTTTGCGATAAACATAACTTAACCGTCGCGAATACTTTATTCAACCATCACGTTAGGAGGCGCTATACGTGGAAGATGCCAGGTGATTTAGGGAGATATCAGTTAGATTACATACTTGTTAGGCAAAGATTTAAAAATCAAGTGAAGGACTGTAGGAGTTATCCAGGAGCTGATATAGATAGCGATCATAATTTAGTAGTTATGAAGACCAATCTTAAATTCAAAATTCTGAAAAAGAGGGCAGGTAGGAGACGTCTCGACTTAGAAAAGCTAAAATGTAAAGAAGCGCGTGATAGGCTAGGTAAAATGACAGACCAAATACTAATGGCGGCTGGAGAAACGAATGACGGGGACATAGAGACAGAATGGAACTGCATTAAAACGTGTCTAAAGTCAGCAGCTACAGAGGTACTAGGTCTTAAACAAAACGAAAGTAGGAAACCCTGGATAACAAATGAGATTGTAGGATTAATAGACGAAAGGCGGAAATACAAAAACAGGACAGACGAAGAAGGGCAAAAAAGATATAAAGCTATAAAGTGGGAAATAATTAGGAAGTGTAGGGCAGCTAAGGGGCAGTGGATTGATAGGATGTGTAAAGAAGTAGAAGAAAAGTTTGAAGTAGGTAAAACCGATGAGGCTTATAATATAATTAAAAGGAATTTTAGAGATGTAGGATACAGTAGTAATAATATAAGAAACGAGGCAGGGGTCATGTTGATAGAAAATGAGGAAAAGGCAGATAGGTGGAAAGAATATTTAGAGAACCTTTACGCAGGCCCTGAGTTAGGAGATATATTAGAGAAGGAAGATAGTGTGGAAATAGATGAGCTTGGTTATCCCATAATGAGAGAAGAGTTCGATGTAGCATTAAAAAATTTAAAGAATAATAAGGCGCCAGGTGTAGATGGGATACAGGGGGAAATTCTAAAACATGCAGGACAAGAGGTTAGAGATCGTATGTTTAAGTTAGTTAGTCACATTTACGAAACGGGGAAAGTCCCAGAGGATTATAAACGGAACGTAGTAGTAACATTACCTAAGAAGAGGGGCGCGGATAGGTGCGAGAAATTTCGAACAATTAGCTTAACTTCCCATGCGTCAAAAATCTTAACTAGAATTGTACAGAGGAGGATGGAAAAAAGGGCGGAAGAACTATTAGGGGAAGATCAATTTGGGTTTAGAAGAAATAGAGGAACGCGGGAGGCCATTCTAGCTTTACGGGTAGCAATAGAGAAAACGATAGAAAAAGGAAAGAGTGCGTACATAGGATTTGTAGATTTAGAGAAAGCTTTTGACAATGTTAAATGGGACAAGATGTTAAATATACTTAAAAATGTAGGGATGAATTACAAAGATAGAAGAGTGATACTTAGTTTGTATAAAGAGCAACAGGCAGTTATAGAGCTGGGGATGCAACGTAGAGAAGTAAATATTAGGAAGGGAGTCAGGCAGGGATGCACACTGTCACCGCTACTTTTTAATCTATACATCGAAGACGCCATCAACATCATTAAAGACAGTACAACTGTAGGGATAGATGTGCAAGGGCAAAAGATTAGTATGCTTAGATTTGCAGATGATATAGCAGTATTAGCATCTAGCAAGGAGGACCTAGAGATAGCTTTAAATAAAATGGAAGCGGTACTGACAGATCAGTACTGTATGAAAATAAATAAAAGTAAAACTAAAATACTGATATGCAAGGGAAGAAAAAGTAGGGAAAGAGCGAATATAAAGATAGGAGACGAAAAATTAGAAGAAGTGGCTGATTTTAGATACCTAGGAAGTCAGATAAGTGAGGATGGAAGGAGTAGTAGGGATATAAAGCAGAGGATAGCGCAGGGTCGTGTCGCCTTTAATAAAAAGAAGTCACTTCTATGCTCGCGAACGGTTAATTTAGAAATTCGAAAAAGGTTGTTAAAGGTGTATGTTTGGAGCACGGCGTTGTACGGGTGCGAAACATGGACAGTGGGAGCGGCGGAAAAGAAAAGGTTAGAAGCGTTCGAAATGTGGTGTTATAGGCGGATGATGAGGATATCGTGGGTAGAAAAGGTTAGAAATGAAGAGGTATTGGAAAGAATAGGAGAACAGAGGACTCTATGGAAGTCAAGAAAAAATAGGCGAGATAGGTTGGTAGGACACCTTCTCAGGCATGAAGGTCTAGTCAGAGACATATTAGAGGCAGAAACAGGAGGTAGGAGGGGTACAGGTAGACCTAGATTAGATTACTGTTCGCAAATAGTTAAGGATGTGGGCTGTTCTAGTTTTAGGGAAGTGCGTTTTAGGGAAGTGCGAAGTTCAGCTCAGGATAGGAAAGAGTGGAGGTACGTGTCCAACCAGTCTTAGGACTGATGACCTTATGATGATGATGAAGTTATCCAAATCTACTTCTCTGACTATTCCTTCGGAAGATCGTCAAGTTGATTCTTTGTTGGAATTTAATGCGTAACATCTTGATAGAGCATCAGCGTTAGTATTTAGTTTTCCTGGTTTATAAATGATGTCATACTTATATTCAGGCTTTATCAACCTCCACCTAACTAACCTGGCTGATGGATTTGATATATTTTATAGCCATTTAATTGCCGCATCATCCGTAATGACTGTAAACTGTATCAAAGAAATAAGGTCTGAAATGCTTAACAGCCCGGACGACAGCCAAACATTCTCTCTCGCTAGATTGAGTGTCCTGCTTGTAAATATAATTAGGAATTGCTCCTTTAAGTCGGGTTCTTACAGATAGAATAGCGCCTGGTGCATATTTGCCCGCGTCTGTAGTGCAGAGATAGGTTTGAGAATAGTCCGAATATTATTGTAGGTATTTATTGTAAAAACAAACACAGATAGTAATATAAAAGGTTTTATGGAAGAATTAAAACAAATCAAAATGATATTAATGAAGACGATTAAACAACGGCAAACAAAAGTAAAAACGTCTTGCTTCGCGACCGATCTCACCCCGACTCTTCTCTCGAACTCGCCTTACACGTGATAATATCGTTCGTGCAAAAACCCCGCGGCAATCACGTACGCACTTCGCGGTACCTACACATATACACACGCGTAGTTCACCGATTCTACACTCGGCCATCCTGGATCGCATTCGCCCTCGAATGAACTTCATTAACCCATTAACGCCCACGATTTTTTTAAAGAAAGTATTTTTGTTCAAAACTGGGTTGAAAATTTTAGTTTAAACAAAATTTTAAATGAAACCATACCTGAAAAATTTGAAACTTATGAGATACATTTATGTACCTGTACGGGTACAGTGGGCACAACACCGCAACTTTTCTCGTAGAAATAAGTTTTATTATTCAACATCAATTTAAATGAAAAAGTGCATAGAACGACACAACTAAAGTATTACTCTCTAAAATACACAAAAAAAATTATTATCATTNAATTTAAATGAAAAAGTACATAGAACGACACAACGAAAGTATTATTCTCTAAAATACACAATAAAAAAATTTATTATCATTCTGAGTGAAAGATTTTGAAACAATCCCTTTCAATGCAAAGGGTAGCATTACATTTTTCACAACTCCATCGAATTCGTTGGTGACATTGAACACATCTCAGTGGTTTGGCTAGTTTTTTGGGAAAATGACCGCCTTCATGCATTCTTACGCTTGCCAAGGTACTATCCGAGGGTTTCTTTCTCTTATAAGAATATTTTGAAAAACAAGTTAAATAATGTCTGACCAGGGTCCTTTGAAAGTCGAGCAAAGTAAGTTGGTTGTTTTCATTCATAAGTTGGTGTAACCTCCAAGCATTAACGACTGCTGTATTTATCAGATTAGTGAACACACACCCACCACCATTTCTTTCCGCTAATACTTATTCTATAAATATTGAGCTGTTGATTATGTAGGTCTACTCCACCCATGGACTTGTTATAAGTTTTAAATAAAGCTGGTTGCGGGATATCAACTCTAGCTTTGCTAACTGTTGACCAACGTTTAACATGTGCAGTAGGTTCTACGGAGTCGAAATTTGTACCCATCGTAACCACGCTATTGTCTTTCCATCGTACAAATAAAAGTTCACTGGCTTGGTCGTATTGATGTTCGGAGTAACCCCTGTCCTTTTTCTGAAATAGTTTTTTGTTAGTGAGTGGACACTGCTTAAGCCTATTGTCTCTCAGTTTGTGATCTGATGGAACAGAGATGGTTTCGATCAGGTCAAGGACTACTCGGGATCCCAGTGGTACTTTATTTTGCTGGTTTCCTGGCTGTTTATCTTTGGCTCCACAATATGTATCAATGGAATAACAATAACCAGTAGAACTGCATAATAACCAGTTTTTGTAGCCAAACCTTACTGGTTTCCCTTTATAAATTGTTTACTGGTATGGCGGCCAAAAAACTTTACCATCGACTCATCGATACAAACGTCTTCATGGAACACTCCCCACTGCTGGAACCTTTGGTTTAATCGATTTACAAGTGGGCGCAACTTTGACATTTTATCAGTTTTGTCTAACGCCATGTTGTCTGCAAGATGGAGAAACTTTTTTATCTCCAAGAAGCGATTTCTTGACATGGCATCTGATACAAATGGTATTTTCAGATCTTCGTCGAGGCCCCAATATGACCTTTCACTTGGCAATTGGTGGTATCCCGTAAGTAATAATATAGCAATGAATATTTTGATATCAGATTTTGAGACAGAAAAGATGTGGTTGTTTTTTTGAGATGAGTAAATATTTGTTTGTGTAACTACATAATCCAGAACATCGTCACTAAAGATCTTTTCAAATATTTCAATTTCTTTTAAATTTTGGAGGTCGTTTTTAACGATTCCCACTCGTTCAGTGCATCCTGTTTTGGTTGATTTGGGCATACTTATATCCGTTGGATTCATCGTCAGTTTCAGTTTGATCCCAGATCTTCATGTGGTCAGCAGCAGTTGTTGTGCCTGTAGGTCCTTTAGTACCATTAATCTTTTGGACCATGTAGCGATCATTTCCCATCTTCTTCAATATTTGGTACGGTCCAAGGAACTTAGAGTTAAACTTGGAGCCTGGACGTTGCTGAGTTTATTGGATGGCAACAATGTCTCCTTCTTGGTATTGGATAGGTTCCTTTCTCTTCTTATTGTAGTTTCGGATGTGATTCGTCTAGGATTTCCAAAGATGATAGATTGCTTCTTTAGATTGTTTATCACTTCTGCTGTACCAGCTGTTTTTGTGGGGTACAGTCAAATGAACTTGCTGAACGCGTCAATTACGGGAAAAACGTATTTGTAACCTTTTCCAGTGCTAGACACTGGGCCTAGATGTTCGATGTGGTATTTATCCAAAGGACAGTCGCCCTTGTCGATCGGATTCAACCAGCCCTCTTGTTTCCCTGCCTTTCTGTTCGCCAAAATGCAACTAACACAATTGTTGATTATCTTTTCTATTTTCTGTCTCATGCCCATAAACCAATAATCCCTTCTTACTAGCTTCTCTGTTTGCGAAATACCCAAGTGACCCCTTTCATGTACAAATCTGATAATGTTCGATTGTAGACTCTTTGATACAACTATCAACTTTTCCCCATCTACATTTCTGTATAAAATACCTTGGTTTACGCTATAATCTGGTCCATTTATGCCTTGTAATTCTTTATCTTCCTGTTGGACTTTTAAGTTGTGCCATTATTCCAGTTTCTTCGGCATCTATAAGCATTACTTCTGGCAAAGGATGACGACTGAGGCTATCGACGTGTCTTATGCGTTGTCCGGATCGATGTTCGACTATACAATCAAAGTCTTGTCAAAGTAGTGCCCATCGTGCCACACGTGCGCATGCGTCTTTCTTCTTTAAAGTCATGGTAAATGCTTTACAATCGGTAACGAGGGTAAACTTAATTCCGATCAAATAAACTCGGAATTTTTTAAGAGCCTTTACGATTGACAACACCTCCAATTTCGTAGCTGTGATATTTTTCTTCAGCTGCGGACGTTTTACCGCTGGCATAGCAAATCGAATGGAACTGTTGGTCTTTGTGATCACGTTGTAATAAAATGGCACCATAACCTTGAGCTAACGCATAAATTACAAACGGTACAAATTCCTTATTCTTAAAATTTTTAAATTTTAAAAACTTTTCGTTATCTTTTGGCAAAGTGATTTTTGTCCTGTTTAAATTTTTACAATCAATTAAATGCGTTTCTAAAGTCTGCTTTGATGTAAAGTTGTTGAGACAACGGTTACATATCCATTTTCTAATTTTATTGTTTTTCATTTGTTTGTGTAACAGTCGCGAAAGGTCATTAATTAATGCAAAATGAAATGTTCTGTTTAATTCAACATTTGTTTCATTAAACTCAGTAGAGGAATCTGAAAAATTATTTTTATCATCAATATCGCAATTTAAATTATCACACGGAATCATTAATAAGTTAATATGAGGTGTAAAATCGGTTTTACTCAAACAAATGGGTACAATACTACTTTTATCAAGTGTGAAAACATTAATGGATAAATTGTTAATTTTTTCAAATTTATTTATATCCTTCAATTGAATTGGAAAATTAATTCCTTCATACTTAAGGATTCTACTAAAGTGTGGATATGATGTTGTTCTATTTGGATTTTTATTGAACGGTGAAGGATGTAGTGCAGCTACAACTGACCATAGAAAACAAAATTTATCGTTATTTTGAATATTGATAACTGATTTTGAATTTTTAATAAATGAAGGCATTTCTACATATGTTGAAATACCTACGTTAATTGGAGCATAATTATTAATATTTATTTTAAGTTGTATTATTTCGTAAAGGGCCCATCCTGACTCCCGTTCTTGAAATCCTTCTAGTTTTGTTAATATTTTGTTTTTAATGTTTTCATTGTACCAATCTTTTAAATTTGAATTGTGATCTATAACGCTATTTCTAGTTGTAAAGTGTTTAATTTCAGTCTCACCATTTTGAGGTTTTATAAAATTGCCATAAAAGATTGCATTTACCTTTAAAATAGACTGTCTTAAAGAATTTTTAACTTTTAAAGCGAAACTTTTGTAGGCTGCATCTAAAAATTTAATCGGTTCCTTAATTTTATAATTTACAATGCTACCAGTTCTAATTCTTCCTCTAAAACATGAATCTAGGTCTACCCATTGTATATTTCTATTTTTAGTTTTTTTTGATTTATTCACATTTGAATCAAGTTCATATTTAAATTTATTCTTATAAAACTTTAACATTGCCAAATTTGTTTCTAACTGAAGCTTATTTCTAATATTATCTTTCTGTTTTATAAGTTTTTTTACTAACCGAATATTTTTATTTAAAAGTTTAATGAATTTCGTATATTCATCCTTAGTTTTAATTAATGTACCAACTTTTTCTATTTTCTTAATAAAATTCTTAAGTATAATATTAGCTTCCATTACGAATTATAAAAAGTATCTATTATTTTATTCCTGAAGATCCAAATCCACAATTTGACCTATATGTATTATCTAATGATGAACATTCAACAATTGTTGGATATGATATTTTTTCACAAATTAACTGAGCTATTCTATCACCTATCTCTATTACAAATTCTTTATTAGAATAATTAAATAACAGTACCTTAATTACACCTCTGTAGTCTTCGTCAATAACACCTGCTCCTACGTCTATAGAATGATTGACTGCTAGTCCAGATCGTGGAGCAATACGACCGTAATGACCAATCGGTAGTTGAATTTTAATTCCAGTATCAACGAGAGTTTGACCACGAGCAGGAACTTTGTAACTATACGCACTTCTCAAATCGATACCTGCAGCGAAAGGTGTTGCTCTGGTGAGAGATCGACTATTGTCTGTTAATTTAACATATTTTAAAATATGAGAATCCATGATGCTATAATAAAATCAAAAACTATAAGCATGCAATAAAAGTAAAAATTAAAACAAAAATTACTACTTACCCACAGTTTCACTTGGAGAGTAAAACGGTTTTAAACTTGAAGTGTGTTAGATTTATTATAAGGTGTTGCTCTGGTGAGAGATTGACTATAATAAATACAAAAACTATAAGCATGCAATAAAAGTAAAAATTAAAACAAAAATCACTACTTACCCACAGTTTCACTTGTACAATAAAACGGTTTTAAACTTGAAGTGTGTTAAATTTATTACATATTTATAGCAGAATTTTTCTTTTTTATAGTAAGAGGTGAAGAGGTCATCAGTTTAGATAAATGTGTTTTGATAGATTCCAGTGGAAATTGCTATAAAATAGAGGATAATAATAATAAAAAGAAATTGAAAATGAAAAATGAAATTTATTAAAATAATTACAAATATATTTGTTTTAT